GTTTAACAAAAGCAGTTAAGGATAGAGGCAACTATGGAATTTTGTTAGCTCCATCAGAAGAATTTTAGAAAAGGTGATATTTTGAAATCTGCAATTGCATCCAAAATTATCTGTCAAATTAAAAAGGTTGACATGACTCAGGAGAGGTTTCTAATAATTTTTAATTCCCTATACCTTTTCAAATTCTTCCTGCTCCTTTGGGTCACTTTGAATCCAGGTCTGATACAGTCTATAATTGAGAAAAAATTCAGAGAGGAAATTCAACTTATGAGAATGCTTTCTGATAGTGTTAAATAATTTGATTTGATTTGAGATTATAGAATAAATGAACCAAATTTGTTGTAGTTTCAACTTTGTGACACTTCTTTGACATGATCAAAACACCTTATACTGGAAATCAGTGTTCTATATATTGAATTCCATGTCTCCATTAAATTCCTTGGAAATAATCCATTTGGAGCAGCCAAAATACTTGGGATACATACAGAAGAGATGTTTTGTTCACATCATTCTTATTTTTTGCATATTAAAAAGGTGAAACAAAAGATTTTACTTTCTGCTTTGTTAATTTTCTTCTTTGAAAGTTAACACATGGGTTTAGAAACTAAAACAGAAGTGCCAAAGAGAAATGCTCACAAATCGTTCTCTTGTATGTATTTTCTATTTTTTTCAGGTATTTCATAGAAAGTTTTATAGTGTTATTATGCACTCAGCATTTTAATACTGGATTGAATTGTTTTCCTTATTAAAATTCATTAAACGTAGTCATATATATATTTTTTCTTCTAGCAATGGTTGTTTTGAGCAACCTGGAACCAAATACAACTTATGAAATCAGGGTTGCAGCTGTAAATGGAAAGGGACAAGGAGACTACAGTAAAATAGAGATTTTCCAAACATTACCAGTCCGTAAGTAATCATTGCTGTTCTGTTTTCTGTTGCCATGCTCTACACTTCCATATTTAATAGATTTTAAAATGCAGGGAGACGTTTCAACACTTTTGGGAAGTGAAATATTTCTTTGTCGAAGTGGTTTCTGACATCTCAGACTTCTAAAAATAACCTTGCTTTGGACCTAAGCAGAAAGAAAAGGTGCACTAGAATACAAGCACTAAAAATTGCTATCAGGATATTGTCTCCATATGAAGGTGCCCTTGTTATTCATAGTCTGATTAATTGGACTGTAGTGTTCAGATTATATTCTGTGAAAGAGTAGAAAAATGTCTGTGTAACATGTTCAATATTCTGTTCTTTTGATAAGGCATGACTACTGCCTTTAACCCACAAATTATGTAGGTGTTAAGTGTGAGAAAAATGAACCACGAAATTAATCCATTACAACAGTGACTATAGGAGAAGAATAACTATTGTAGCCTTGTTCTGGCAGCTACCCTATTTTGGCATATTGCAAATCAATTGAGTTTATGTGAAGTGAAGATTAAATTCAAGAAGACTTACATTTCCTTTATGTTGAATAAATTATTTAAAATATGAGAAAACATAATGAGTGTGACTGAGCATATGCTGTTATAAAATCTGTGCATAATCCTGCCTGTTATATATACATGCTAGGATAGTCAGATTGACAAAAATAATTTATATTGCCTTAATTTGTGACCAATAATTCTCTGTTTTTATCATAAAACCTGTCAGATGAGTTTCCATTTCTCTATTCCCAAGGCTAGTATCTTTTTTAGTTCTTCATTATTTTTTCACCAGGATGATTCGAAATAGATCTTGATTCGTAATCTTACCTCCAGTGTAGTCTTCCCTTAACCCATCTTCCAAGATGATTCTCAAGTAACTTTTCAGAAATTTCAATAGAGACCTATCCCTACCCTGCTTAAAATTCTCAACAGCCCCACTCTTCAGCTTCCCGCCTTCCTTTCAGATCCACTTTTCTCTTCCTGCTATCTCACACCTCCTCTCCTAACTACCACGAAGCTGTCTGCATCAGGATGTTGAACTACAGTTTGATGATGCTGTTTTCTTTCCGCACAGTACTGTGCATTCTGACTGAAGATCAGTCATGGCATGATTTCTTCCATAACACTCTGTATAAGCCCACCAACTTTATTTCCTCCTCCATTTAGGCACACTCTCCTTTATTTGCTCATAAAACACCTCTCTTAGTGTTTCAAAATTAAATCACCAGTTTCTGCCTTTTTCTCTCTTTCCCTTTTATTAATAAATTATAATGCTTCTATTCTCTTGTACTTTTGTTGACTTGCCAACCTCTCCCCTGCTCAGTGAGCACTTTGAGGGTTGAGACCTTAGATATTTTAAGTAATAAATATACATTTTTAGTTGTTTCTCAGGATTCTTTTGAA